CAAAAGTTATAAGAATAATGAGACAGTTAGTTGGTATTGCAAGAGCATTCATAGTGTAGTGCAAGCAGTACTCCGTGATCATGAAGCCACGGCAGACCAGAACACGGCATATTGCAACTCAGCATCGATTGGATTGGGTTGGATGGACGGATGGGTGGACGCATCCCAGAACACAGATTATATAGTTTGGTCGTCCTTCATCTTTGCCTCCAAAAGCCCTTCACCTCGTCAGCTCCACCGAGCACGCTTCTCCAGCTGTTCTTTTGCTGGAATTCCAGTCTCAGCGCCTGGAGGAGCGCTGCAATTCTGGGAGAGCGACGCCCTGCAGCGATGTGTAGCCGCGGGAGGCAAGGAGTCGGGTTCCACTACCGGGGGAAAGGGTCGTCGAGGCTTGTGGGCGGGCCGGATGATTCAGTAGTGATTGAGGCCTAGCGGCCTAGCAGTCGTGTTCAGCACAAATTGGGATCGCGAGGGTCGCCACTGTTGCAAATCTTCTCTGGGGTCGCGGGGGTCTGCATAACAACCTAGGCCCAGGGATCGAAGGAGCAAAGGCCGTTGAATGGATCTCATGCCATATATTTAATATATATATATATAGTATATAATACATGATGTATGTATGTATGTATGTATGTATGTATGTATGTATGTATGTATGTATGTATATATATATATATTAATTATGTAACAAATAAAGTATAGATATATTATATAATGTACATAAAAAAATAAATAAATAAAATATATATCAATCAGCTTAGGCTGCAGAGCAAGTCAATGCCGGCGGGAGTCGCCGCGAAGCGTTTCACTTCTGAGGGGCAGTCCTTCTGGGACAGTTCCTGGCAAAGGCTCCCTTTATCGTGTGCCCCATGATGAAGAGTAAGAGCCAAATACATAGCACGTTGCTTAGTAGGAGTCTGTGCGTGTGAAAATGATCATGCCAGCCTCCAGCTGAAGGTGCAACGTTGAAAAAGACTCGTCTCATGTAACATTTGGGAGTTTTGACAAGGTCCCACAGGATGGATGCCCTTCGGAGCTTGGGGCATCACACAGCCCGACCCCGCTGCTTTGGCTCAAACTCTGCCACAGGGGCTGCGCTTTGGTGTTGCCCTATTCAGACGCTTGAAGTGCAAAAAGTCTCCCTTCCATTGAGGGCCTGGTGCATGTACTTCTTGGACAGAGGCCGTGATCTCTCTGCCTCTGGGCAGGCCCAGGCTCCTTCGGAGTTTCTGAAGTGCTTCAGGTAAGGCTACCTTGGGAGCTCCAAAAAACCCTGGACCTGCAGAGACCACGCATACCAGATACTGTACGGCTTGGCAATGAAGCGCAACATCGGCGAGCAACCCAACAGCCACACAAAGAGTGCCAAAAATGCCCGAAACTGTGCAGCCAGAGCCGAGGAATGTCTATGTGAAAGGTGCTTCCCTGGCTTCGTGCCAGGCCTTGGCTTTTGCAGGAGACTCCTTAGGCTATCGCTTCAGCTTGCTGGGTCCTAGCCGCGGAGCCTTCAAGAATGCATGCACTCTCATCACAGATCCGTCAGTGCTTCATGGGGTTGTCTAGGAACCGTCTTCCATGTGGTAGTGTGTGCACATGGAGTCCGGGCGAACGGTTCGAAAGCACCTTTAGCTTGGATTGCTTGCGCAGCATCCCGCCGGTGAGCTACAAAGGTTTCCAAGATGGACGAATCCGAACAACATGTACAGAATTCACAGAGGCCGGGCTGTGATACACGAATGTCCAAGCATCGCCACTCTGGTCACTGAGCATGTCGTCTGAGAGATGAAGGCAGGAAGTAAGGGTTCAGGTGAAATTCCGAAGTCTGCAGCGGACCCGCGCCAGGCCAGTCGTCGACACGTCTCGCAGAGATTCGACGCTGGCTGCTCTGTTCATGCTTTCCGCCATGAAGGGGGCAGACACCCGGCAAAAAAGAGTGGAAGCCTGCAAATCAACCAGAAGACTCCATCCTTGCGCATTTTCGTGCACTCGGGTTTAGTATATTGGTCGAGTCTGAGGAGCTATGAGCTGTTGACAGTTGACATGTCTAGCTGTCGTTACTAAGGACATACAGATGCTTCCGTCTTCATTCCGTGCGATGGAGCACGTGTCCAGGCAGCAAAACAGACAGGCGAGACGTGTCGCATGGTGGTACGACAGCTGAAATGCCAGCTAAGGATCTCCACCTCATGCCCAGCCAGTGAAGCGCTTAGCACCACAGCTGTTTGCCATTTCGTGGCCGCCGTCGCCTAGACTGCCCAGCCTTGGGTTACCGGTACGGTACCTTATTTCCTTACGTGGGGTGATGATGAGCTTGGCTCCCTGTTGTCCGACTGCGAACCGATAGACCTCGCCTGGTTTGTCCGAGTTGTGAAAGCGTAAATGGGAGTTTCCGAAAATAAGGGGTACCGTCTTTAGGGGTCCTTATAATAAGGATCCTACTATTTGGGTTCTATATTAGGGTCCCCTATTTTTGGAAACCCCCAAATCGACCAGCCATCCCGAGGCTTGCTGTCCTCGCGCTTTGCCAAGGCCTTTTCCGAGAGCCCGGATGCTGGTGTGCAGCGTCTTGTTTCATCGCGGGTTTTTCTGGGATCCAGTGCGTGGCCTCCGCCGGTGCAGGCGTGGCGTGTGCCGTCTCCGGGCCCATCTGGGGGAATCTTGTGGACTCTGGCGCCTCCCGCAAGTGGCTTCTGCAGGCGCGCAAAAGCTGCAAAGGTTTCACAGCTGAGTCACCACAACAGGGACTGGTTGCAGCCTGAATGGCAAGACATGGGCCTGCCACGTACTTGACATCTTGTGCCCTTCAGCCCCTCAGCCGAGATGAGGTGGGCGCCGGGCTCTGGGGCCTCTGCACGATCCAGCTGGCTTTGACTTCTAACTTCATGATCATGATCCTCCTGCGGGCTGCCAGTCTGCACGAGCCCAGGGTCTGAGGAGTCGAGGTGCCAGGAAGCTAGAGACAGTACCTTCATCGATTCATCTCGGCCACATCTAGCCGCTAGCACTGCGTTTCACGAACCGCCTGTCAGCGACTGTGGATTCGAGGTGCTTAACGGAGCTGCTTTGGCGATGATGGCACCTCGGCGGCCAGGACTAGCCGGCACTTGCAGGATCATGGGACTTAGTAAGTAGGGTTATAAGTCCCGAAATTGGGGTTAGGGGTTATAAGCAAAAATGTAGTTACCTGAACCATAACCCTGCTTACTAAGCCCCACGCTCAGCCATGCAGGAGGCAAAAAAAAGCCCCACGATCCTTTAAGTAGCCGCTACTTCCAATTCGGACGCGGAGCCTCGCAGGTGCCGGTGATGCAATCCTTCGTGGCAGACTTGACCACGTCCTCCAACTGTGGGTCGGCGTTCGGAAAGGCCCACCCAACAAAAGCATTCCCAAGAGTCTCTGAAACTCAGTACATCTCAGCACTGAGTTTTGAGTTCTTTGCAGGTCGCCTGCGCTGCGAACGTGGGCCAGGTCTTGGCGTGTCTGATGGTGACCCCAATTTCAGATCCTCAGACAGCACTTGTCGTGCAGTCCCAAAGCCCGAAACCCATTCGCATGCCGATCCTCTGTGTCCTCGGAGGAGAGTGTGGTTCACGGGGTCCGCGGCTGGCGACTATCTTTGGCCTTCGTGGGGGTGCTGAGCCTCTTCTGCGCGCCTTGGCCTAGAGTCCTAGAGAAGCCTTCAGGCGCTCGATGGCGCTCGGCAGGCTGCAGGCGCCCGTGCCAAGGTGCTCTTCGTCCGGGTGGCCGTGCACGAAGAGCCGACGGTTTGGAAGCCAAGGCAGGTCCTGACAAAATGCCAAAGGGAAGAGAGCCCTCCCTGGTGATACGGGAGTCCACATTCCATGCTTGCCACAACCTGCTGGTGATGCGATTGTTTTTGAAGTGGCCATCAGCCGTGGAATCGAGCAAGGAGATTCGGGATACTTCGCGAGATTCGCACGATGGTGCAGTTCATGAAGATCCCGACCTTCCGTGTGAGGGGCTGAGAAAGTAGCTGCGAATAGGGAGAGCTGTTTCGTGGTGTCATCTAGCGATGCGTTGCACAATGTATGGCCCCTGAGCTGTGATACATTGATGTCTGCAGCCGTCAGCTTTATTAAACTCCCCTGTCCTGTACATGTGGGCGTGGGGTGCACGTGGGGGGGTCAGCCATTAGAGCAGTCCATATTGCCACCCAAAAAACTATCGCTCCGTAAGCACCATGGTCTCGTTTAAGCTCAGGCTTCGCATTGAGTCAATGCCGATGCCCGACCTTTCGCTCACAACCCTTTACAGTCGAAGCTTGATTGTAGCAAAAGTTTCAAAGCTGCGACATGGATGGCCCGACCAACGGCCCCTGCGTGTCTCGCAGCTAGATGCACTTGATCTTTCGGTCTATCGTGATTACTCCATCTGCCGAAGGTCCGGAAGACCTCGATTAAAGCCCAGCATGACGTGCGATTCCTTCAATGACACCCTTGCTCGCGTTACATTAATTATATCGTTTAAGACTCCCGCCGAACGGCGCCCGCCTCTCTGAAGCTCCTCGAACGGTTTAAGTAAAGTTGTGGGCTTTGGAGTCCTGGGATCCTCCCTGGCAGGGTGGCAGGACATTCATGTGTCCAGTATGGCCAGATTGGTTCAGTTGTGCACAGGCTAGCTGCTAGAACGAAGCAGGAACCCGGCATGCTAGAGTTCTTCCCCGGCTTTCCTTCGCCACAAACCCTAAACCCTAAACCCTAAACTAAGTAGGAGGCAAAAAAACCCTAAACCCTACTCGTACCATTGGTGTGTTTAACCGAGGCAACTCGTTGAGATAAGCAGCTTCGACGACCTGGCAGCCCCTCACCCTAGTCATTGCTATCGTAGTAATTATCACAGTTACGGTTATCATTTTTGTAGTACCATTGTTATTATTATTATTATTAGTAGTATTATTGTTCTTATCATGATATGCAACTTAAGACGCCTCATGGACGAAATCCGGTAAGCTGGACTGCCAGCCTAGGTTGGAAGTCGCATGCAAGAGGATCCTGAATCACGGGGCGCTTGGAGAGGCTGGCCCGGACTGGGAAAGCTCGTCCGGTCCCCCCTCTCATTTGCTGCTGTTGTGGATCGAATTTCCAATGAAGTCAGAAGTTAAAGAAGATGAATCCTCGGTTTAGTCCTAGCCTGCTGTCTCCTCCGTCAAATAATTCGGTGAGTTTGCACGTTAGCGCAATCTCGTTCGAATCCTGTGCAAATTCTCGACCAGGCTATCCAATTAAAACTTGATTGAGTGGTTCAGCGTCTTTGTTAGCCAGCATTAGTAGTTGAATTGGCCCTATCAAGTTCGATGTAACTACTCCTTAAATAAGCTCTCCTTGCCTGCTTCGTGCGAGAGTGAGAGTCGAAAATATGTTCACGAATTCGCATCGTCGTGCATCCAACTGGCTCTTCGAGTGAATCTTCGGCCTTTCACCCATCAACGGAAGCCACCGTCTTATTCGTGGGTCTCCAGCACTCGGCAGGTAATGGGGAGACAGATGAGCTGCTTGGCCAAGCCACACGAAGAGAGCACTAGCTGGAAGCCGGCAGGAGCCTCCCAGATTTGCTGTACAGCCGAGGAGTCTGGAGGGATGGCTAAAACCGCCCCCGGCGAACACGATGAGGGAGCCGCCTTTGCCCCAAGATTCCTGGACCAACACGTGGGTCAGAGCCTGCGACGAGAACAAGAAATGGCTCGCCATGGCCTTCTGCGAGGACAGCCGTCACTACCCTTGGTGCTACTTGTGTGGTGCCTCGGACTTTTGGAAGCTGCGGGTTCAATCGGTTCACCTCCAAGTAGCCGCGTAGCCCTTTGGCCGCCAAGGCAAGTGGGCAGAGGAGGAGCACCTCAGGGGCGCGAAATGTGCAGGGAAGCGAGAGCGCTTCAATGTGGTCATGGGCCCTTTTCTTGCGGAGCTCTTGTCCAAGGGAGCTGCGAAGAGCGAATGTCGCCTCCTGCCTAGGACCTGGCAAAACCCATTGAATTCCATGAAGCTTTTTTTCTCCCCGAATAAAATTTCCCAGCCTTTTGATCCCAGCCTTTAAAAAAAGAAGGGAAGCCGACTTAGCCAAGGACGCCAAGTTCCGGGAGACGAAGAGCGGCCAAAGTTCAAGGCCAAGGCCCCGCCCCCCGTGGCGGCCCCGAGGCCGAAGCCGCCGCCGGAGCTCAGCGCGAAGCCGCCGCCACGGCCCAAGGCGAAGCCTCCGCCCGCGCCCCTAAGACCTTGGGGCCGAACTTTCGGAGGACCTTTTTTCTTTTTTTTTTGGGAAGGTGACGTACTGTCTCTACTTTTTTTTGCAGACCACGGAAATCTAAAGTTCTTTGCTGATGCTGCAGCCGAGGACCGCGATGCCGCAATGAGCACTGCGACTCAGCTGCGTCCAGGGTTAGGGCCACTGGTTTCTGTTTGGTAAGCCCTCCACTTGAAGTCAGCTGAAGCTCGAGGCAGCTATCTGGCTCACCCAGAGATGGACGAGTTCGAAGGCCACTCGATTTACCAGAGGCCGAGCCCCTGCCAGCTGCAGAGTATCTATGCTCGCTGTTGAGGCTACTGCTGCAAGGCCTGCCGCAAGTGGCTGCAGGAGCGGGTTCGATGTTGGGAAGTGCACATTTAACACTGTTGCCTGACTTCCGCATCGCCTCAGGAGGGGTACAAGAAAAAGACGCACCACGGCCAGCGCTGTCTGCGGGAACCCGCCCCCGACGCTGCACCAGAACCGGAGCCAGTTCCACAGCCGCCCAAGGCGCCTCCAAGCGCCTTGGACAGCCGTAGCCCGCTGTCGGACTTCGGGGCATCAGTGGAAGCTGCACGCGGCGGCCTTTTTTTAGCTTTGGGTGGACTGTGAGGTCGGCCTGCGGAGGAAGCGACGAAGTTTTCTCCACCGAGTCACGTCGGCTGCACTGGCACTACCGCGCCTCGCGAGCTTGCTAAGGCTACTTAAACTTTAGCGATACCGTCCACCTTGCCATTCCACGATCACTAAACATCATTTATCAACATGCCTGAGAATGCCAGTAGCTCATGTGTTACCTGCCATGTGGAGTTTTCGGACTTTGCCAAGCGGGAGCCAAAAAAACATGCCAGATTGGACATTGGCAAGTGAGGTAGGACGTCAGAGGGCGAGCCGGAGTCAGAAATGGAGCCCAGCACGACATTCAAGCTGCAGGCGCTGGGGTTTGAGGGTTATATCCTGATCGAGTCGACGCCTGCGGGTAGGAAAGCGGCAAGCACTGAGTCCGCAGCACGAGACGCCAGTGGCTGTGACCGTGAACTGAAGCGATCACTGGAGGCGTGCTTAAAATTGGCGGAGCCATGCACGTTTCGCAAGAAGAAGCTGAATGAGGGCATCCCTGCCACTTGGACGTACAGAGCATGTGGGGTTGCGAACATAGAAGGAGGTAGTATAGGGGGAGCAAGGCCAGAAGAAGCCGTGGCAGGGCCGAGAGCGTCAAGCAAGTTCAGGACTTCCAACGCGGACCTGAAGTCACATGTTGCAGTGTCATTCAGGCAGGTATGATTCGCATGACGTTTGGCGGAGGTCTCCAGTGGCGTAGACCCGTCGGCACCTGAAACCAAGACCAACTTCGAAGGTTCCGTGTCCGATTTCAAGAGGGGAGGGCCGATGCTGGAAGTGGTCATAGATAGGCACTTAGGGTAGGCTTCACTGGTAACTGCATGGGGGATCTGCACCATCCTACCAGCCAAACCGACCGAGCTTTAAGAGATTCATATGAGCTCCAGATTGCCACGATTCTGGTTCAGAAAAAAGCACCAGAATTGGAAATGGAAGGGAAAGTCTCTGGAAGGCAGCGTGCAGGTGGTCGGTGAGCCTGTTGTGATCCTCCTGGAGTCCTTCGAGGTGCATGTGGGGGATTCCCGGAAACATGGACCACCGACGTTCCGTGAGCAGCAACATCCTTACGAAATGGGAGCGAACAACGAGTTCTCGGAAGCTCGCCTGGCCGAAGATGCTGGTGGTCTTTCGACTTGAAAGTCCCGGATCTTTGCATCTCTCCTGTGTCCGCGTCTCGTGAGGTGCTGCGCGCACCGATCTGCGATGGCTGGATCACGCTGGCCGAGAGAGGGGAATGGAGCCCCAGTGTGCGTGTGTGTGTGTGTGTGCCTTCTGCCTGCTGAATTTGGATTGGGATAGGCTGGATGTGAAAGGCCGCGTGCTTGACGCGCAAGAAGATTAGCGATTCTCACGCAGGCTTGGGTGCGCTTCGATGGGCTATCTGTAGCCTGTAGAACGCTACTTCACCCTCGCAACTCCCCGAGTTGCGGGAGCCCCAAACAGAAGCCGAAAGGCGAAAGAGGAAGAGTCCCTTATGATGATTATAGTATAATGGGCCTTACAACCCTATTCTAATTATTCCGGGCCGTAGAATCTATAAGTCTCCTCTTCCCGGAGGAGTCCGCTCTGCAGCCGCTTTGCCGAGCCGGCCTCGGGCTGGCACCCGGCCTTCGCTTCTGCCAAGCACCTGGACAAGGTCGGCCATGGCTTTTTGGGCCACTTCCGCCAACACGGGGTACCTATTTGGGGTCCTTATAATAAGGATCCTACTATTGAGGGATCCAGAGTGTCGCAAAAAAATTGAGGGTACTATGTTAGGGTCCCCTATTTTCGGAAGCCCCCACGTGTTCCTTGAGCGTCCATGGCCCGTGTCTGCCAGGAGTGGAAGCTGGCGGACGAGATGTGGCAGCTTGCACCGCAAGACAGTAGCCAGAGTGTGCTAGATCACCAGAGAACCGTCTTGGATGTTTGCGACCTGCCTTCCTTTGCACAGTTGATGTCCCCGAAATCCGAAATAAAATCTCTTTCTCGGAGGGAAGAGCTACAGCGGATCTGGGATGGCCTGGAGTCTGCAGCTTGCTCTGCCATTGGGTCAATTGCAAGTGCATGAGAGTGGCATTGGGCGAGGTGATCTGCATGCTGGACAGTTCATGTCTTTTGAGGGCTGGCCCGGCCGAAACCTTTCTTCGGCTTGTGCATCGGCGTCCAACGTCTTTGCTTGCTTTTGCCTCTTCAGGTGCAGCACGAGCTGAAGCAAGAGTTGCATCAGCAAGGGGCTTGCCAGGAAGAGACCGTGGCACGCCGCAGCTGAGCTGAAGCAAATGTACCTCACTCCGTGTTTTTCTTTCCGCCCGCCGCAAGTGAACACGTCGTAACGAACAACAATGTAACCTCAGCGTGTAAGCTTCGGCTCTAGTTGAATAATTCCTCCACCTCCGCAACTTCTCCAGCTTGAGGCAACGACCTGCGCCACAAGGCTCTGGAAATGGTGCGCGAGACTTGCTGTGAACAGAATAAGTTACCCGTAGAGTAGTCGGGAAGGCGATCGATTTTTGGGCCGATCTTTTCACGTGCCTTTAAGAAATCGGGAGCCCGGCCGACGGTCCCGGGAAGGCCCGGGACCCCGAGCCTCGAAGCGTTGACCCCACTCTTTGGTCCGACCCGGCCGGCGCATGGAATTGCTAAGGCCGCTGCAATTTCAGTAGGAGTCGAGCCGCGATACCAAGACAGCAGCTGAGGATTACCAGGAGCAATCCATCCGCTCCTCTGCAAAGTCTTTCGACTGGTATGGAGGCTCTGCCTGGGTTTTGAAACTAGCAATGCCCAGGTTCCTGCACCCTTCTTGAGAGTCAGAGCCGAGAGCCGAAACTCAAAGCTTCGACTCGTCTATTTTGCCACATGCCGGGGAACCAAAACCAACGGGAACTAGTGATTCGCTCAGCAACGCAGGAGGCAGCACAACTACACGTAGCCCGAGCAACCAATCAAAGGATCAGGAACAGTATTGCTACTCTTGCTCATCGTGAGCTTCGAAAAGCTTGGGAGGTCCTTCGAGGCAGGAGCGTGCTGGGATCGCAAGGCACGGGCGAGCAATCACATATGCTGCATGTGGCGTGGTCGGAGTACAGTAGAAGCTGCCAGAAGCCTGGAAAGCATGCTTCAGCAATAGACAGCGATGACTGCTTTACCTTGAGGTCTTGTCTTGTGCTCATACCTCTCGCCATCTCAAGAGAAGCAGGTACACCTGTATGGCCGATGTAGGTATTCGTCGGCATACATCATTATCCGGACCCCATGCTGCCTGCATATGAGCACAGCCAGTGAAAGTGAGACACCAGTGGTTCCGTGCAAACACCAGACAACTTGCAAGATTTCACCACTACGTGTGTTCTGACTCTAGGTCTGGGTTGTATGAGTTAAACCTTCACGCATGTACTCTTTTAAATGCAATCGCACGCAGGCAGGTAGCTGGTTAGGTAGACGAGATGTAGAGACAGGTGCGAGTTCGATTGCATGAGCAGTTGTGAGCAAGCATAGTCAGCAAATGGTTTGATGCCATACTTTGCATGTCTTGGGACTTGTGTGTATGTGTACCTTCTTATGGCAATGCACACAGAACCAATTTTGCTTGCATGTGTACGCGTTTTTCGAAGGGAGCATGACGGGTTTTCAGATGGCAGGGAGCTTGAAAGTTGCCCGCAGGCAGAGGCGCAACCAGCTGGAAGAGGCTTCCAGGCTGCTTGCAGTGCCATGGGAACAGGAAGTAGAGAATATATATATATATATATATACATATATATATATATATAGATATATTATAATATATAGATAGAATAGCCATTCTACCAAATTCTTCCTGAGAATCCAGGCAGCCACCTATCTTTACAAGACAAGGGTTTTCCCGACCAGCAGCTCAAGAGCTTTCTGCCACAGAATAAGTCGCCTAGAATCTCGGCAAAAACCGGAGTCCACGCACCTTTGTGCTCGAAGTTTATGGTGTGTCTCCACTTTGCGGCATGAACACGCTGAAGATGGGAGATGTTTCGGGGGCAATAATGCCAACGCGTAGAAGGCACCTGCACTTGCAATGAGTCCTTTCTGCAACTTATGTGCCAGGGTGGACGTGAAGAAGGAGTTGCAGAACCTGGCAGCGCAGCGTACCAAAGCTGCTTGGCGAGAAGTCGACCTATCGTTTCCTACTGGGCGTATCCGATTCATCTATGATGACCCTTTGCTCCTCCTAAGGCGCCTGGAGTCCTAGTGATTCGCAAGTCGACCTAGGGAAAAGCGGATCGCTAGGTCATGGTTGCAACAAGCTGCTGCTTCTCTTCTGCCGTGCCCATCCGCGGCTTGCTCACTAATACCCGTCTTGACTACTGCAATTGCTTTCTGAGACTGGCCGCGCTGCAACATCGGTGCAGTTCACGATTGCAAAGTCTTTCAAGTGCTGCTCGTTCCAGTTCTGCTGCTGTTTTACACCTTATTCGCTAAGAACGAATGCCAAGGGAGGGCAGTCTTGATTCGTTGGTAAAGCCCCACTACGAGAGTCCCGAGGTCATCACGGTAAGGAATGCCAAACGTATTGCAGATGCCGCACCGTGGCAGCGAAAAGCAGCAGCTTTGCGCAGTGAGTTGGTTGGTGATTGGCCGCTCGAAGCTTAGGGACTTCAGCTCAGGAATGGCAGAATGCCAGAGAACTGCAAGATTCCGATCTGGCGAAGAAGGAAGAGCGTCGTGATCAAGCACGGATGGAGGAGAAGCAGGAGACTCTCAACCCGCAAAAAGGCCAAGACTCTTTGGCCCGCCCCCATGCTCAGCCTGCTCCCAAGGACACGTGCTTACTTCGAGAGTATGGCGAGCCTATGCCGGGTGGCCTCAACCAGTCTGCCGGAGAGTCCTGCCTCCAAGCAAAAGGCATAGGCTCGTAGGTTTCGAGGAGACGCCCATGCGCCAGAGCCCGTGGTGAATGGCCGTCACCGATTCAGACCCAAGGCTGCTGCCGGAACTCGGACAGCACACAGCACCGTAGCTGCAATGGGTCAGTGGATCTAGGACCCTCGGACCAGTCTCCGAAGCACCGCAGGAGAAGACCATCCAGGCGGAGCTGAAGAAGCTGATCCTTGTCTCAGCCCAACGACTTCTCGGAGTGCTTTTCCTTTCTTTTCAGGAAAACCACGGCGAGTTTACGAAAATATAGGATCTTGGCGTGGGGTCGACTGGGGAACTGCGTGCCGAGGAAGCCAGCAGATCAGGCAGAAGTGAGGCAGGTACTGGACGAGAACATCAGCCTTTCACACTACGAAGCTCGGTTGCGACTGCGGCATTTCGGGGGCCCAGGTGCTTCTCCGCCTAAACTTAATGTTTGGAGTGTTGTGAGGACCCACAGCAGCTGTCGAAAGCCACCCGCCTCTCGAGTGAGGGAGGCCGAGGGGTGGGGTTTGGTTTGCCTGGTAGTTGGGCATTGCTGTAGCTTGAACGGAACATTCAGCCATCGGCTTACATTGTCCTAGCTGGACGCACATGCTCACGGAATCAACTGGTTCATGGTTGGGCCGCGTTCGGCATGTTTCAAGAGCACAGACTGGTCCTCCACAGGCCGGCATGCGATCTACGAGATGTCGTACCTCCTTTGCATGGCATAAGGGTGGCAGGGCCCTTCTTTCACCCGTGCAGTGCGGGCATGTGAGATCATCTGAGGCTGGAGCACACGCCATGTGTGATCAAAGTCTTTGACTTGCATTCCTGCCGTGGACTTCCCGGCTTTGTCCAAGAGGTCATGCTCCACACTAGGCCGGATCGGCAAAGGACTGGCCATGCTTTTGTTGCTCACGAGTCCAAGTACACTTGAGGCTGCGGCATCCCTTGATTGTGCCACTTCGCCGAGCTTTCCTGGATCTTGATGACCCGTGCCGGCAAGAGAAGAAATGTCCCGAAACCTGTCGCAGGAACAGGTAACGTAGCCCCGCTTCAACGCGGCACATTCGGCATGTCGCAAAGCACGAGGGCATCCTCTGCCTACGCATCCTCCAAGAGGAATCGATCACATGAACCATAAGACAGCAATGGACAATGTTGCATAAAGGATATTTGTCAAGACTGTCAAAAGGAAGTAGATCTTGGCAGAGCATCGGACACGCGGATCATAACTGTGATGGCAAGCCCTGTCATAAAATGAGCGGGAGGCATCCATATGGCTGTAAGCCCGAAGGGCCTTGGTGGGTCGTGATCTCGTATCGTTTCTCGTGTCTGTGCTCCTGGCCGATTATGTATATACTTATACATAGTTGCCAACACATTATTCCTGCATTTCCCTGGGCCCAGGACCATCGTGGCTTCCTTCAGTTCGACCGCTACACCTGCAATCTGGCAGAGTATCTCGAGCAGCCACTCGACCCACACCGGGAGCACAATGCTCGAGGCCTCCGGGAACCGTGCTCGTGAAAGGTTTGACAGATGCTCAGCTTTCCTGTTGCCGTTTTCGTTTCAACTCTACGCAAACGAGTTCAGGGCTTGGGCGTGCGTCGAGCAGTAAGCCCCCGCGCTGACCCCCAGGTAAGCCCCTGCGCCGACCCCCAGGCCCTAGCCGTTCCACGGCCTCTGATGAATTCATACGTTGTAGCCTTGAATGATTGTTTGCCCAAGAAGATGCAATGCCGTAGCTTTTACCATCTTCATTCAAGCCCCTGAAAGCTCGGAAAAGGGTCAGTGGGAACCTTCACATGAGACGGCCCCATGGCTGAGCTCCAGGTTGAAAAGACCTCGCCGGGTGCCCCATAACTTCGGTGAGCCAGCAGAGGCCGGTTTGGTTGATGATCGGATGCTCGGCAGCAGTCCGGGTTGTCCTTGCCTTCTCTGTATCCCCAATGCCATCCTGGTGGCTCGAAGGCCCTTTCAGGTGCTTGGGGACTGAAACAGGTGCAGTTCTTTTGTTTTTGTAAGCTTCCTCGTGAACTTGTGCCCCCTGACTCCCTAACTGCCTAGACTCCTACTAGTAAGTGGGGTAAGATGCCCGACATGGCTCGACCAGTATGCCCGGCAAGTCGCGCCTGGACTGTCCAGTCCACAAGCCAACCACAAAACCTGCAACTTAAGAGCCCTTTATAAACCGCAGCCTCAATTCTTGCCTGCACCTGTGGAGCGATCTGAGGATGCCATGCAGGATCGCACACACCATGACACAGTCCGTGGCGCCTTTTCTTGTACGATGGCGACGAGTACGTAGTAGTGTTAGTGGTTTAGTAGAAGTCATCGTCGTGCTGCCATTCCCACGACTACCACTACTAGCACGACTAGCATGCCCAGCACGACTAGCTCGACCAGCACAACTGCCACTACTACAACTGTACTACCACTACTACCACTACTACCACTACTACCACTACTACCACTACCACCACTACTACCACTGCCGCCCACTATTACCACTGCTACCACAACTACCATTACCACCACCACGACGACTTTTAGTACCACCACCACCACCACCACCACCACTGCCCCTGCAGCAACTACCACCGCACCTGCATGAATAGTATTAGCTTTGGTGGTAGTATTTGCATTATTATTATTTTTATTAGTAGTGGTGCGAGTGTACTAGTAGTAGGTGGTACTAGGAGTGGTAGTAGGTGGTAGGAATAGTAGTAGTAGTAGTAGTAGTAGTAGTAGTAGAAGTAGTAGTAGAAGTAGTAGTAGTAGTAGTAGTAGTAGTAGTGGTAGTAGTGGTGGTGGTGGTGTTGGTGGTGGTGGTGGTAGTACTGGTAGTGGTGGTAGTAATGGTAGTGTGGCACGTAGTAAGTAGTGGCAGTAGTAGTAATCGTGGGGTAGTAGGTGGGTAGTGGTGGGGTAGCCGTGGTAGTGTCTTGGTCGTGGTAGTAGTACTAACAGTAATAGTAGTGGTAGTGGTAGTGGCAGCAGCGGTATTACTATTAGTATGACTATTATTATTCTTGTTATTCTTATTCTTATTATTATTTATTTATAGTCGCAGTAGTGGTAAGTAGAGTCGTGGTGGTGTGTTGGTGGTCGTGGTAGTAGTGGTTGTGCGTGGTGGTGGTGGTGGTGGTGGTGGTGGTGGTGGTATTAATAGTAGAGTAGTTGTTGTTGTTGTTGCTGCTGTTGCTTTGTAGATTCTATCTGGAAGTGCAGTGCTTGAAATTGAGGATTCCTTTGCACGCAAGGCGCACATCCACGCCCACCGTGTGGTCCATGGTGACTTGAAGCCCTCCAATTGGCTTTGGGACAAGTTGCAGAAGGCCCCGTGTCTTTGCGACTTCGCAGCTCGACGGCATTGAGTGGCCTGAGCAGCAGAAACGGTGAGTAAAGACACGCACAGTGCGAATCAGATGCCTTGCCGCCTTTCGTCGTGAGCTTTTGCGAGTTTATGCTGGTTGTGAATTCTTGTCGCCCTCAACAGCAGGTTATGCAGAGCCCTCGGGCTAGCGGTACGTGCGATTTGGGATAATGTTTGGCCGCAGATGCCAGAAGCTGTAAGACATTCATAGCTAAGGAGACGGCCAAAGACCAGAATCGTGGAACCACAACGGCAGCCAAGACCACGGGGCGAGGCTTGCACACTCCTGGCTATCTGGCGCCGGAGCTCGTCAAGGAGACTGCCGAAGTATCTGTACCGGACATTACCGGACCGAGCTTCTTCAGCCGGTTCTGCAGGACCCTTTCAGGTCCAAAACCATGGAAGCAGACGTTTTCGCGCCCCTCGGCCTGCAACTAACTATCTGGCCAATAGAGACCGGGAGTGTCAAGGATGTGCTCGTCCATGCAATAGAGCAGCACAAGAAGCACGAAGACCTTTTCTGTTTGACAGGAGACCGGGTTTACTGATACAGGTTCAGCTGAAGCTCTGAAGTTCCTTCATCGGGCTTTATCCGACTCGACACACACACACACGCACACACATGCGTCCCAGTGTGTGTGTGTGTTCATTTGTGCATGCCTTGCCGGCTTACCTACTTGCCTACCCACCTAACTTACTTGCGTGCATATGTACGTACGTACATACTTGCATACATTTTCATGACGCAGTCTGTGAACGTGTAACTATATAGTATACATACATGCGCCGTAGCTTGGCGGGCTCCAACAACTCAGAAGCTCCAACAACCCGAGTTGGACATTTGCTGTTTGAACCACCTTTGTCTCGAAACCGTGGCAGGAACCCATACGAAGCCCTTACGAGATCTTTACCAGCAGCACCGATAAGGTTGCAAGCCTAAAAAGAGAAATGGCTATGATTATACATGTAGAGAGTTATATATATTTATATATATATATATATACAGACACACACACATATATCTATATATATATATGTTTATATTTATACATATATTATATATATATATATATAATATGTATTTACACAGATACATCCATACGAAGTACTGCACGCCGACTAAAACCGGATGCGCAAGTGTCTGTGTCACTGTCTTTTTTTTGGTTCTCTTGCTCTCTCTCTCTCGTGTTGTCTCATGCATCTGTCTACACATGACTTCAAGCGCATGGAGATGAATACCTATCCACGCACATACCTGGCGCAGTGCAGCGTGGCATAAGGCATGAATGATGTGTTGCTGCCCAGCAGATACGTTCATGTTGTTACAGCCCATGCTCTGAGCACCAGCCTATTCAGCCCATTCAGTTTTGCTTTCATTGCTACATCGTACTTGATGAGTCTCTTCTAGACTGCCACGACAGTTTTTTTTTTCGTTTGTTCATCCTTGTTTTGGGGCTTTGCGACTTGGCTTCGCTGTTGATATTGGGTCACGATGCTTTCCCTTTGGATAGAACATCTTGGGATGCATATCCAGTCGGGAGATACGGACAATATTGGACCGTAACGACCCCAAGTCCGAATCCTAAGCCGATGGGATCCTCGGCTTAGCAACATGGAGCATTGCTGGGAGTGTAAGGCTGGGACGGTCTATCGAGGATGTCCTTGGCGCTGTGCCAGAGACGAGGCCTGGGCTTGAAAACAGAAGGGGGAGGGTTTTTTGCTGCCTAAGGATCTGAGTTCAAGGCGGAGAAAGTTGGTACGATTGCTAAACAAGTGGTGATGAATGACGAGTTCCCTTCACTGTGAGGCTTCTCGACAGGTTCTGCCGTTGCCGTCAGTGGGGCTCAAGACTTGTGAATGATGTTCCCGCATCGTGCAGCGGCCAATTTGTTCAGGCGGAGTCATTGGCCGATCAAGAGCAGCACGCGATGCTACTTGGTTGACTGCTCCAAGGTGTACGTGAAATCAGATCGTTTCGGCGGAGCCGGAAGTTATGCGGCCGTGCCCATCAGAAAGGGCGACCTGGTGGAGCGCGGCATCGTTCGGCGCTTGCCCGTGGATGGGAACCACTGTCCGTATGTTTTCACCTGGAGCGAAGACAAGACCGTGTGGGCCAGCGGCAGTGGGTGCTCCGTGTTCTACAATGCCTCGCTCGACGGCAACGAGACAACAGAGATGAAGAGGTTCTTCGACGAGGACCGTTTCGAAATCTATGCTTTGCGTGACCTGCAACCACACGAGGAGCTCACGCATCTCTACAAGAGCATGGAGTGGAGGGCCTGCTTTCAGGACCTGCGGCAGCCGGCGAACTCTTCGGAGGCCGCTGCTGAGGCCCTGGTTGCAAGCCAGGAGAACCTAGTCGACTGTTCCAAAGTCGAGGTTCGTCCAGATGGGCATGGTGGAGCCGGAGTCTTCGCAGCTGTGCCAATCCAGCGTGGTGAGCTTGTGGAGCGGGGCATCGTTCGCCGACTGCCGGTAGATGGGAATGTTAGCCCCTTCGTCTTCACTTGGAGTGAGGACAAATCTGTATGGGCCAGCGGCAGCGGCTGTTCCGTCTTTTACAACGCGTCCCTGAGCGGGTCCGAAAACACGGAGGTCGTTCGCCATTTTGACAAGGACCGTTTTGAAATCTACGCCCTTCGTGACATTGAGAAAGGAGAGGAGCTGACACACCTCTACAAAAGCATCGAATGGCGCAGTTGTTTCCGGGACTTGAAAACACAGAGGGAGCTGTCGGGTTTGAAGAAACAGGACAAGGAGCGTGCGGACTTTACGGAGTACTGGGCCAGCGACCATTCTGCGGCCACCCTGGAAAACATGATGCTAGATTCAGATGCTGCTTTCATCGACAAACTGGAGCGGCCAGAGATCCTCTCCCACATGCCAAGCCTTCAGGGCAAGAGTGTTCTGGAGCTTGGGGCAGGGATTGGCCGGTTCAGTGGCATCCTGGCCGGCAAGGCTGAGCAAGTTGTAGCAGTGGACTTTGTCCACAGCTCCTGTGAGGAGAACAAGCGGGCCAACGCAGACAAGCTCAACTTGGAGGTCCTTCAGGCAGACGTTACGTCGTTGACTATGGCTCCAGGCTCCTTTGATTTGGTCTTCTCGAACTGGCTGTTTATGTACCTCACTGACGAGGAATGCCAGGAGTTGGCCAAGAATATCTTGACCTGGCTCCGCCCTGGTGGTCACATCTTCTTGCGCGAGTCTTGCTTTCATGCCTCTGGCAACACAGCGCGGCGCTTCAACCCGACAAAGTACCGAACACCGGAGCAGTACTCACAGTTTTTCAGCGATGCCAGCATCGATGGCATGCGCTTCCAGCTTTGTGGCACCAACTTTGTGGAAAGCTATGCCCAGCTCAAGGGCAACATGCACCAGTTCTGGTTCCGATGGCAGAAGGTGGGCGTGCAGTCTGACCGTCACCTGATGACGCTTCAGACGGGACAGTACTCGCCCGCGAAGATTCTTCGTTACGAGAAGATCTACGGCCGGGGCTACATCTACACTGGTGATGACCGCATCTCTGAGAAGATCATGCAGCTTTGCGGAAGCCACCTTCAACCAGGAGCTCGCTGCTTGGACATCGGAGCCGGTGCGGCTGGCACGGCCTACTTCCTGACACAACAGAGGCCTGGCATCTACGTCCATGCCGTGAATTGGAGCAGTGAGTTGGCCAGTGTGAACGCAGGAAGACTGCCCCAGGCGCCTGAGAATGTGCGCAAGTGTGTCACCTTCGATTTGACTCCCGAATCCGGTGTGCCGGAACACGAAATGAGATACCCACCCAATGCCTTCGATGTCGCCGTGCTGCGGGAGACGTTGATGTACCTTGATAAGCAGGACAAAGCTGTCATTCTGCGAAAGGTTGCGCGTCTTCTGCGCCCCGGTGGCCGACTGGTTGTGGTGGACTACTGCGCAGGCAAGCCACGGGAAGAGATGTCCGAGATTTTCAAAGAGCACATCCACCGCTGGCATTACGAACTCCTCCCAGCAGCTCAACTCGAGGAACTCATGGGACATTACTTTGAAGTGGAGAGCGAGGATCTTAGCCAGGACTTCGTTTCCTACATGGACGAGGGTTTGCAGCAGATCGAGGCGAAGCTGGGCCCGGGCACCTGGGGGCCCCCGGAGGAGCTCCGAGCCTTGCTCAGCGGCCGCTTAGAGGGTCGCCTGAAGGAGACGCTCTCGGAGCTTCCGGAGGAAGTCGCGGCCCAGGCCTGCGCTGCAGCGATGGAGAAGGTGGAGCTCCACAAGGCTGCCTTAGAGTCCTCTGTGGAGGCCCAAAAGCTCGACTACGATTGGGCTCGGGAGACTTGGAGCCTGGAGAAAGACGCGGCTTTGGCAGGGGACCTGAAATGGCACATCTTCGTCGCCACAAAGCCGTGAGCCTCGCGGATCCTCGCGCCCCAAAGCGCATTTGCACGCTTTTGCCTTTCGTTGGTGCCATCTTTTGCGGAGATCCTCCAGACCTCGGAGCGCACTGCGGAGCCGCCCGGCTACCGGGATCCCGTAAAGCTGCAATCCGAGGCTTCTTTCTTGCCAGACAGTACAGAAGAGTTCCGAAACGGCGAGATGTTTCGAATGGGTTAAAAGTTGCGAGTGGAGTGGGGATTCATTGGTTTCGTGACTCGCGCACAGCTTTTGAAGCCAAAGCTGTTGCCTGTATCCGTGCTCACGTTGAATGAGCTCATGTCGCAACAAACTGTGAGATGATGTCGCGTGGTACATCATCACGAATATGCTGACGTGTGAATCCGCATGACAACATACAACGACAGGACAGGCTCTTGTATTTTATTCTAATCTGATAGATGTGGCTTCAGTCGCAGTGCCATCGCACAGAGTGCGAGCCCTCGAGTCGAACAACCGGAGCCCTGAAACATCCCGCGCAACTGGCCAAGTCCAGGCCCTCTCGCTTGAAAGTCTCATACATCGCCACCTTGAGGCCAACCGAGCGCAAGGAGCTAAAGAACTTTGCTGCTGGGCGTGAGTTACAGCCTCCCGGGAAAAAGAAGCTGGTTGGGCTTCGGAGCCCAGTCTGTAACCGGACCGAGGTAGAGCGGATGCTTTATGAGGATCCTTCCATGCGCATTCCGGCGCAAGTTGCGGCAGAGGCCGCTCGGAGCCGCATGACTAGATTCCGAGCAATAACAAGTCCTGCTTCCCGAGGCCCTGCGTAAAGGAACTGGAACCAAGTGCATTAATAACATCAGAAGTTCGCTCATTGCAAGTCTGAGGAACAACAACTGGCTCTCAGATTCCTGATTTCATGCGCGAAGATGCGTGAACTTTGAGAACGCTTGTTCTCCCACCTTGCTCAACCAGGCTTGGTGGGCTGAAGCTCTGAGCAGCACGGATGGCTACGAACACCTGGTGCCTTGCTCAGACGTTGTGCATGCGCGCTCGCACGTCCTTTCTTTTCGAAAATTTGCATGATCTCGCGGAAGGTAAAGTGCAAGGAGGTGCTCTACTCGCAGGCTCGCCCTTTACCGCAGACCTGCCATCCAAGTGGGGCCATTTCTCTTGGCAGAGCAGATCTGCCATGAGCGCCCCTGCAGATGTGCGAGGGGTGAAGTGTTTCGGCAGGCCGAATGCAGCAAACAGTTCCGCGACGGGAGGTCCTTCCAACAGCTCATCGAGGCGGGCTTTAAATGTGAACGTGACGAGAGCTAAAGCTTGTCTCTGCGCAGACATCTTGAAATTGCAATGAAGCTACGCACTTGAGAGGTCACAAGTGGTGCTTGTATCCGGGGCGTGATTAAGGAACCGATGGCCACATGTCATCGGCGAGAGAGAGAGAGATAACAAATCCAAGTCCAAGAACTCAAGGACCGGTCCACCTGTTTACTCGAGGTGCCAGACATCAAGCTCAGAAAGCAAGCTTCGGCTATGACTTGGTGCTTCCCTGAGGCGATCGTCAAGGATCCCGAGTACCCGCTGAAGGATGACAGGCTGGTCATTGAGGTGGTCCGCAAAGGCCGGTGAGAGCTCCGGGACCAGATGAAAAGCCTGAAACATGAAACCCTGAACGGCCCGAAACCCTGAACCTTCAGGGGGTGCCCTGCTGTCGGTCGACAACCGCCGCCTCTACTGCTTCCATGAGGTCTGCTGCTGGCTTCTTGGAGTCCTGACATCTCTTAAAGCTGACAGGCGCAAACCATCCTTCGTCCCGAGACCGATGCTCTGGCTGCAGCAGGGGCTGGTTCTGATTTGAGTTTCTCTATGGAGTTGAAAGACTTCTGCTTCGCATCTCAGGTTTGGATCAGGATACGGGAGCACCAGCACAGTCATGTGCCTCGACCAGGAAAGCGTTGCATTGTACTGGTGCTTCACCCCGACGGATTTCGCCTTGAGGGGTAGGTAGGTCACCTAAGGTGCAAGAACGGTTCCAGAACCACTTCTCGACGCGGAACGGTGGCAAATACATCCATGTGCCCTTTGGAATCTGTGCTGTTCAATAACACTTCGAGGTCTCTCGGTGCTACGCACAGCTTGGCAGGTACGGGGCCTCCCACTGCCTCGCCGCCCACCACCAGGCCATTCGGCTTCTGCGCAGACGAGCGATGAGCGACGCAAGGTGGTTTAGGTGTTCCTTCTCACTTCTTGCAGGTCACTGCTGAAGAGGGCAGAGTTCCCAGCGAAAGCTTCTTCGTCGGTGAAGCTCCGCGAGTATGACTTTGCTAAAGCTCAGAAAGCTCCGATAAACTTTCGAGAAGTTGATTTACGATTCGCAATGGAGCTAGCAAGGATTTGGTTGACAATGATGGCAACATAGCTCTCACCCTTGCGGCTGACCAGGGCGATGCTGAGATCATGCATGTGTTGCTAGCGGCGGGTGCTGAGCCGTTCATCCAAAATGCTTTTGCTTGAGGGCTGAAGATGTGCATACTGTCTAAGATTACCTTACCCAGAGCATAGGTGGTCCGCGCGGGCAACCAACGCGTCACAGCTGTGGCTCTGGGCTCTAACTGTGCCGCAAGTTTGCTCTGATATGGTCCAGGTCAGGGCTCACCTGGGTCGGAGAACATGGAGGGAAGGGTCCCCTAAACCCTAAACCCGAATATGAGTTGTGCTCGTCCTTGCTATGTAGGAGGCACAAAATATGAGTTGTGAGAGTGTGAACCCGAAATATAAATCCTAAACCCTGCCTAAAAGAGAAGTCAGGGTGAGGGTGAGTGAGGGCACTTTCCTCCAGGGCCGCCTCGAAAGAGGTCTGCCCCTTGAAATTAGCCGGAAGTCCACGGCTCCGATAGGCCTGGATCCGAGCAGCTTGCCGGATTCAGGGCATTTTGGATAAGGGCCTGTGCCATCATCAAGGATTGAGGAGGGCGCGAACACGTCCAGATCACTATGGTGTCACATGGAATAGCAGCCAGAACGCCCCACGACAAGACCGCTCGGCGAAACGACCACCACTCCAGCTGCTGCTGCTACTGCTGTTACTGCTGCTACTGCATGCTACCGCTACTGCTACTGCTTCTGCTGCTCTACTGCTAATGCGACGGCTATGGCTACGGCCACGGCTGCTGCTACAGCTGCTGCAGTCTACTGCTACGACTACTGCTGCCTCTACCGCTACTACTACTGCTGCTGCCGCTGCTACTTCTTCTGCTACTGCTACTGCTGCTGCTGCCGCTGCTATCGCTGCTACCACTACCGCCGCCACCACTGTGACCACCAGCACCAGCAGCTCACTAGCACGATTTCCTCAGTCGCTCATGGTGTCGAGCCTCAACAGCACATGCCGCAAGCAGAGGGCGACCGCAAAGTAGTTTGAGTACTTGCTAGTATGTGTCCTTGATGCAATAGCAGAAAACAGTTAGAAGTTCGGCTCGAAGGCTTGAGGAGTATCTGGTCACAAGCAGCTCTACGACGCATGTGTTCGTGGAGGCTGTGTGCCTCGCAGCTCCTGCCAGCCGAAGCCTCTGCATGCGGCTTTGAGTTTCGTGAGTGTGCTGACCGATACGGAATCCGCGAGGATGTCGTTGTCACTAGAGGTACCGAAGGTTTCATCCTCAAAGGGATAGAGACAAATGCGCGAATGGGGTTGACATTGCGGTTACTCGTGCCTCCCTGTATCTGGCCTTCGGTGCCGGGACATCATGCTCTTCCAGCAACCGATGCGGCTGGCAGCACATCCACTTTGAAGATTGGAGCTACCAGGACGCGACACGCCATGACTTCATGGCTGTGCCTGCGAGGACCATGCGAGACACGGATCAGAGGAAAAAGGGAAACTTCCTGTGCTTCTTTTGCCAGCGGTTGCAGCTGCATCTGCCGAGACCCAATCTAGTAATGCTTGCGCGGCTCGGCTGAGAGCACCAAAGCTGGGCAACGGACATCTGACAAGACTCGAAACGAAGGTGATCATCCTCCAGGGTGTCTTCGGTACGATCCCTTCGGCGGCACAGAGTTTCACGACAATGTACCTGTAGCTTGGCTTTTTCTGATAGAGTCCAGGCCTTGTCTTGTTCTGAGACCTGTCATGACCAGACTCTCAGCCTCTGACACGGAAACGTCCACTTCAGGCACTCTGAAAGTTGCTTTGTAATGGACTTGCCCATCTAAAGCTTGGGAACGGCCGACGCCCCGGTCGACCCATGTGCACAGCAAATCCAACATATCAAAGACTTGGGTAGTTGAGACTCGTTATGCATCACCACTGATTGACGAGTCGACAAGACAACTCAAAATATCTTTGCAAGCACTTGTCCGCAAGCGATTGTAAACCGCCGCGTTGTGGCCGAATGCGCAGTGCTCAGGCAGTACATGGGTGTCTCCAATGCAATGTGCTGCTCGTCATCCTTGAGAGCATCTATGCCCCCAGCAGCACGAAGTGTCTTGAGTTGTGACATCAATCCAAGGCGGTCTTATCCTCGCTCTGCGCAGCCAAGCTTCGTTTATGTAGCTCTTTCGTCTTGCTTTCTTGCCAGAAAGCTGTTTTCCGGTTCGCTGGCAGTGCCAAGCGCAGCTTAACACCATGAGCGAAGGCACAGTCGGAGAAGGGCTTGGCAACGCACTGGGTGGCCCCTTTACTGATGAATGCTTGGCTGAAGTCACAACAGTTCCCAGCTGCTCCAGAGACATTCTGGCCTCTAGGGACTTGGACAGGCAGAAGGAGGGAAAGGTCCGCGTGCAGCAGTTCCCGGACCTCAACTTGCAACCAAGGTTACCTTGGGGACATTGCGCACATGAGGCGGCCCACCGACGGCAGGACGCGCCATGACACGCTGAAGAAGTCTAATCAATGAGAAACACATGTGAGCTGACCGGGCTCTCAGGATTTTCATTGCGATGTTTTCGGTGCTCGTGAACATACCGTTTCTCTATGCCATCTTCATGGGCGTGGCTTCGGCATGTTGACGCAAAGAAGTCACTGTTGGCAGCCCGACAGACGATCGCACGCTGACAGGTTTCCAAGAGCCAGGACTTGTCAGCCTCCCGTCGAAAATTTGAGCCTAAGGCTGGGAACCCTAAACTGTAATAATAATTATTATTACTATTATTATTTCCGAAACCCCTAAAGTCCAAACCACAAGTGCATACCCCTTTGCTTTCTTGTTCTCGCCCATCCCTGACTCGTGCGCTGCCCAGGTGTTCTTTGCTGGTCTGCTTTTCACCAGCGGCGTCTTCACATCTTGGGAGGTTGCGGGGTGCCTGTGCCCCGTGGTGTTGGGAGCCCAGTGCCCAGCTGGTGAGTTGTGTTCAGGATTACGAGATGCCAATGCTAGCGTCCCTCAGGCCCAGGTACGGAACTGCTGAACATGCCGGAGTTTGTGAGAAGGAAGCTAATGAGGGCATGTGCGCTGCAGCCCATTCCAGCCCCTCCTCAGAAGAGCTATCTGCAAGCATGGGCCGGTGCTGCAACATGCATAGTCAGAGTCTTTATGAGATGAGGATGCCAGGATGCAATCTTACGTCGCAGCATGCTGTCGAGAGATGCCATCGGAGACGACCAATCTCAGGAAAACATCCCTAGAATAAGTCTCTAGATTCTAGAGTGACCGGGTTGCCAAATGTTACCAAATTAAAGCCGTAGGAACGACCCCCTGGCAGAGTGTCAGACATCGAATGTCCTCGCTCTGGTACATATAGCCCATACTATACTACATATACTATACTACACATACTATACTACATATACTATACTACACATACTATACTACATATACTATACTACATATTACTACATATACTATGCTAGACTATACCGAGGATTGACATCGTGCCCCGACGCCAGCTCTCCTCGGCCTTCGCTTGGAACGCAACGAGTCGGCAGGGCTTGTTCTCCAACCTTTCATAATATGAGAATAGGGTTTTTGGGGCCCACGATATTAGAATAGGGTTTTTGGGGCCCACGATATTAGAATAGGGCTTTTGGGGCCCACGATATTAGAATAGGGTTTTTGGGGCCCGCGATATTAGAATAGGGTTTTTGGGGCCCACGATGCTATAGTCAGAATAAGGAACTGGGGTTTCATCGGCTGTCAAGGCTTCTGATTTTCTCCTCCCTTTTGCAGAGTGATGGACAAATTGCTCACAGAAGGGATTTATGCCCGCTGGGGAGGCTAGATTCTGCATTTGTAAAATCCTTGATGGCGATGTCCTGTTGTGGGAGCTATACAGAAAGACATGCAGAGTCCTGGGTGACAACATGTGGTTGACTCCTGCTTTGTGCACTTGAACCTCACGCACTTCCCCATGCGAGCAGCTACGGACGCAGCCAGTCCACACGTCATCTTATTATTCTTTGAGATGTCGAACGTCACAGCCACGGTGGACATATCGCTGCTTGTATTGCGGTTGTTTACTGGAGGGCAGGGGTTACGTGCTGGGGACATGTGTATCTCGGTAATGGCGACGCCGCACAACTGCTGCCTGTTTTGCTTGAACCATGGGATCGACGCTGCGGTCTGCAACGTCACATCACCTTGCTAAGGAGAGCCCGTTAGGAGCTCATGTTTCATTGCCACACGATCTGCATGACTACGTCCTGGAGCCGGCACGCTGAGTAATTCTCTCGGGGGGGGGGGGCGCGGTTTGTTGTTGGGCATCCCCCGGCGCGTCTGCATGTTGTCCCGCATTGGCTGTCGCATGCGGAGTCTCGGCTGCGTCGACCTGCTCTTCCTGGGGAGGGGGTTGGTCAGCTGTGGCTTGTGTGGCGGTTCCAGGTCCCGATCCGGACCAGTCCATTTCTGGGGGGATTTCCCCTTGGTACATGCCAGTTTGGCCTTCGTACCACTCTCGCTGGTTGCGAAGCTCCGCGTCACTGAAGATGCTGTTGTGGGGTGGGTGGCACACATCGGGTGGTCCCCCCAAGGGTGGTTGCTCCGGGTCTTGTGCAGGCAGAACTCTTGGATCCCATGGCGGCAAGCTTGGTGGGTCATCAACGTCAGCCGGATGCGTGGCTGGTGGAGGGTTGGGCTGGCTGTCTTGGCGGGCATCCGGGTTCGGACGCGTAGGGTCGGCTGTGTCAGGATCGGTTGCTCCCGTGGGGTGCGGCTTCTGGAGGGGAGTGGTTTGCTGGCCACTGGGGTCCGGCATCCGCAAAACGAGCCATCCTTCCCAGCGTTGGGAGGAAGTGGCGCGCAAGCATGGCTTGGCTTCGGATTGAACGTTGCAGTGGTGCTTCGCATAGGCTTGGGTTTGCCCAGAAGTGGTGGCCTGCTTCTTAGCCTCCTCCTTTCTAATGCCTGCTTACCTCTGCGTGAGTGCGTGTTGACGGCCAACAGTGAGTACAGTCAGACACTCATCGAGTGCACCTCGCTTCGGGGCTCGAAAACAAAACATCTTGGGCAGTCGAAGCACCGGCAGATGTGCGGAACTGGAGGTAGCCATCGTGTTCACCAGTGGCAACATGATCGGGCCCATGCTGGTCGGTTCGGGCCTTACGGCATCCTGCAGTACCCCTTGCAGCACCTCTTGCTGGCCAGGGGTGACGGCGCAGAAGATTTTCCACTACAAGCTCACGACAGAAAGCATTGCCGCTGAAACTGAATCCTTTCTTCGCGGTGCCGCATAGGCTTTCATGTTGGCGAGGGACGGCTCTGTCGGCTTTGAGTAGACTTCCTGCCAGAGTTTCGGAGTTTCGGTTTCCAGCTGAGGAAGACATGAGTGCCGACATGCGCGAGCGCAATGCAGAGGCGTCGCTGCGCTGTCCTGCCTGAGTTAGAGTATGAGTGAAATTCAGGAAGCTCTTGTGAATGACATTGCGGAAGCTTCTTCTGAACAGTTTTGTGGTTGTAGCAGTAGCAGCAGCGGCGTGAGCCCTGCCAGCAATGTCGAACAGCAATTGGTTCGCGGTAATACAACTCCAGCGAGACCAGCAGCGCCAGCACGGCAAACTCCACCTTTCGCTGCCTCAGTTTCAGTTTCAGTCTTACGGGCCTCCCAGCCACAGACCTCTGGGACTCCTTCTGAGATCGCAGGCATTGGGGAAGTCGCTCTGCTTCAGCTCGATCGTGCCATGCATTGTCTCTGCCCTGATCTTCTCCATGCAGCTCGGTCTGGATAGAGAGCGCTCGCTTCGCAGGTATGCGAGACATACCTCTAGCGACATGCGTAGTGTTCAGCTTCGATCAAGCGAGGCTCTTCTGCACCTATGCTTCAGACAAGCGGAACCTCCAAGACCATGAGGCAGGCTCACAATGGCTCACACTTAGATCGAACCGAAGTCAACCGTCAGCAAACTGTCATGGATTGAATCGAGAACTTCGGACCTCTGCAGCCTCGCCTAGAAGGTCCAAGCCGTTTTCACAGCTCGAGTCAGCCGCGATAGTGGTTGGAATCCGGAGGGCACAATGCTGCTCTCAGTGATGATTGGCGGTCTCGGCGCGATGGCGTCCGCAAACCCTTCAGTCTCCATTGGCGTCGTGGATGGTGTGGGCGATGTGAATCTCTCCGTTCGAGTGAATTTCGGTGACGACAATTCTGCCTGCGGAAAATCTGCAGTTTGCGACTCCATGAATGCCACATGCCTTGCGCAAATCCCTATGCAAGTCCCGCAGCGATGGTGACAAAGAAGCTCGCCAGTACTTCCCCCTCATCGGCGTTTGCAACACTGTTTCGACAGGAAACTTCGAGAAGCGCTACATTGGCCAACCCTCTGAGCACATGCCAACTGATGTATGCACCGGCGATGGGAGCGGAAGTGGCACGGTGTACACGATCATGTATGACAAGGTGTTCCGTGTCACGTATAGCAACAGTTCCTGTGTCGGCACACCAACAAACGTGCAAGAAACCACCTTACCCATGTCAGCCGTGTACTGCTTGGACTTCGCTGCGGTCAATATCGACTGGAACCTCGATGGCATGGTGAACAATGACGGCCGAAACGTCTCTGCGGAAGTCGCCACCACGACGACTACAATTACTACAACCACTGCAGCCACGACCACTGGGAGTTCGGGGGGCATGGTGGGCGCTGCAGCAGCAGGTGAGCCTTGTGTTCTAGCTTTGGCAGGGATTGCCCTGCACTCGGCTGGAGTTCTCACATGGGTCTGAAGAAATTCGATCTTGTGCTACCTTCAAGCAGGCAGGAAAGCGCCACACTAACGACTCAAAGCCAGTGGTGACATTGGCATCCTGCCGAGCCTGAAAGCCAAAAAAGCCTTGAGCTCCTTGATGTATCTTGATGTACTGAAAACAGTCTCCTTGTCATTGCCCTCTGTGAGAGCACAGAGCACGCTGGGAGGATTCTGTCGGCACCGACAGCGACGCACCTGAAGCCTCCAAGGCCAGCCCTGAAAGCTCCGGAGAGGCAGAGATGCAAGAGGTTCATCTTTGGCACCTTCGGGTTCCGCGGTTTTTATAGGGTATGGGTGAACATGTGAGCAACTGCATTGTCAACCCTGTTTCTTGGGATGGTGGATTCTGGAGCGATTTGATGAGGAGCCGCCGACTGAGACGTCGCATCTTCTCACGAAGCGCCGAGCCAGCGAGGCCCCGTTGCAGCCTGGTAGCTTTCCCAGCAGGCCTTCATATGGGTTCATATACGGACGCACCCATACAAGCATGCACGCATACACACACACACATATATTTATATATACACACACACACTACATACACACAAATATATCTGTGTATTTGTTTGTGTACACAAGTACACACATACATGTACGCCAAGGTACGTACATGATGTGAGGCTTGTCTATCTTAACTGTTGTTGAAGATTTTCGGCCGTGGCAGGAAGGATTCGAAATCAGAGCTCTCTGCAGGTTTCTTGGTAAAACGTCTGGATCCGGGTGTTGCGACTTGCGGGGTCCTAGTGACCTAATGCATACAACCTGCCTGTGAGGTTGCCGTGAATTACAGCCCAGAAGCAGAATTGCAGTGCATGTGAACCGTACATACCACGAACTTGAAAGTCACGAACCTGCCTGTTTAGTAGCGGAAGGAACAACACTAGCAATCGGTGCGCCCGGGCCCCTGTTCGTAACAATGGCCAGAGCCATGGAATGGTCTTTCAACTCCTTCAGAAAACAGTGAGAATGATTCTGTTCTCACGATGACGATGACCAGGTGTGGTTTGATAATTCGGAGGGTGGAAAAATAGGAATCATAGCAATGGCTGCAACATGTAATGGTGGTACATACTAGGCACGATGACGACGGTGCGCATTCTCGCCTCCACCCTGCCTATGCTGACTTCTGGCTCCTCTGCTCGCAGGCTTGAGCAGGGCCTGGCCTGAGCGTGGCCCCACACGCGGGAAGTGCAAGCGCAGACTCTTCCCACGCGGCGAAGACCCGAAGTGTTTCCCAATATGCCTTATGACTCGTGCTGCATGTTCCCGTCTAGCACCTTGTGCTCTCTTAGCGGCACTGAAGCCTTCTACAGCTTGATCGTGGGTTTTAATTTTCAGGGGTCAATATATGGATCACGGACGAGGCGCTTGGGAAGTTGTAGCTTCTCAGATATGCCCTGCAGAGTCGAAAGTATGTTCGGAAGGGACCTTCGGACCGAATGGTCGAGATCCCTGCTGCGATGAAGAGACGTTTCATCACAAGCAAGGCTCAACCAATGCATTCCTGTTAGACTAAGCCACGCAGTAACCAGTGCCTTTCTTCCTTGGCATTGCTGCTGTGCTTGCGCAGGGAGAAGCGGGCCGAGAAAACAAAACAGCGGAGAAGTCGAATGGTGTACAAGACACGGTGACATTCACAAGCGTGTGAAGCCAGGCATGCGAGCTGATGGTGATTCTAACGGTTCTAACCGTTAGCCACACCAAGCCAATCTCCTGGTAAGCCTGTAGGTGCTCGCACGTCTCATAAACGCATTCTTCTTCGGCTTCGCACTGAACCTTCAAGCCTTCAGAAAGGCGGACTGCCCGGACGAGGAAGGAAGCACTGAAGTTCCGAGGTTCACGCCCCGCAGCGTTATGGGCCCCGCCGCCTCAAGGCGCATGGGTTTGACTACGCGTTTGCATCTGCGCGGCAGTGCCGCGAAACAGCCATTCTACACAGTATTACACAGTGATCGTCGGAGTAGGAGCAGCAGGTAGCAGCAGGACATGTGCAAGAGCTGGCGGAGGAGGGAGCGGCAACAGTCCGAGCAGAAGTGTAGGGAGAAGTATTGGTACCAGCTGCAGTAGGGGCCGCAGTAGTAGTCGTAGTCGTGGTGGTAACCGCAGAAGAAGTAGTAGCAGAGGTAGTAGTAG